GACGACTAAATTTAGAGGTTTTATGGAAGGAACTGGGGTCCAATAGACGGATAGACAAAAGGTTGACAAGGGAGTTAATTTGGTAAAAACTGGGCAGACGACACCAGGGATTGTAAATACTTTATGCTATAACTGAATCTGATTATTAGTTCCATAATTTTAACTGGTGGTACTAAAATGGTTGAACTTTGTAATTTTCCTTTCCATTATTTTCTAAATTCTTTGGGGTTTTAAAGAAATCCTATAAATCCATATAAAATAAATGTTACCATGCAAAAAGTGTCTCTAACCAGAAAAAACTGGATTTCATAGAAACTTTTGAAAACTTTTCAAGATAATTACATTCCTCCTGTTTTTTGCTTATTTAACCCCTGTTATGTTTAATTTAATCCACAATTTATTTTCTCCTGTTCAGAAAGCTGCTAACAGATCCACTTCAAGAAACAGTTTCATGATAGTTTCTCAGATACTCTGTTGCTCCTATATTATTTTCTACTAGTGAAATATTTTGTTCTATTTTTGTTTCTTTACAATGATAATCAAAGATTATTAAAACTTTATCAGACACAGATGTTTAAATGATTTGGAAAAGAAGGTTCGGCTACATGCAGAAAATGTTAAATTAATGACTTAGACAATAAGTAATAAAGGTTTCACTTTGGTACTAATAGTTTCTCAATAATTATTTTATTTCACAATTACAATGGTTATTTTCAAATTTTACATTGATGCATCCTTCTAATAATACAAATCAAATTTCAGTTAAAAATAAAAGTCACAATCAATTTTACATTGATTAAAGCTTTATACATAATATTGTAAACTATTAATATTTTATGTTGGAAACATATTAATCACAAGAAACACAAAAAAAAGTGCAAATAAATCACAAACAGGCAATTTAATTTGCTCACCGATCTCACAAGAGGACAGTGCAGCAGCACAAATGGCGCCGCCTCTAAATCAATCAATCAAATTTTATTTGTATAGCACATTTCAGCAGCAAGGCATTTCAAAGTGCTTTACATAATTAAAATAAAAACAGCATGTAACAAACAGTGAGAAAGAGAAGTTTTATTTCTGTTCAGCTGGAGAAAGTTTTGGCACATCCACACATGTATCTGTTCTAAGCATCTGTTCAGTGATTGGATGGGGTCAAAGGTCACCAGGTATGCCAGCCTTGCACACCACTCATCACTTGCAAGCAGCTTTGCGTAATCCGACCCCTCATTTGACAGATTCACTCCGAGTTCCTCCCACAGCTCATACACACGGGCCAGTACCTTGCCGCGCGACAACCATCGGACCTCTGTATGACACAGCAAGGTCTTATGCTCCGCTCCCATTTCCTCACACAAAGATGCAAATATGCGGCTTTTCACAGGTCTTGCCTTCATAAAGTTTACCATCTGCACAACATCATTGCACAGGATGATGGAGCCAGGTCTGCTGGTAAAGTCTAGGCCATGAGGGCCTCACGGTGTAAGAAATGGTGCATAATCATTACATCTGGGTTTCTTTCCTTCACTCTGCTTACAAAGCCTTTGGTGCGCCCGACCATGGCTGCAGCTCCATCAGTGCAGACACTCGTGCAGTTTTCCCACTTAAGTCCTCCTTGTTCTAAATATTCTGATGTGACCCGGAAAATTTCCTCTCCTGTTGTCCTTTCTGGCCTTGGAAAATAGGAAGTTTTCTCTGATTGCGGCCCAGCCACAAAATGCACATTGGCCAAGATGTCCACTAATATCAGTACACTCATCAAGTTGCAATGCAAATTTCTCACTGATACAGATCTTTTCTTTGGTACCCCTGATTATTCACTCTGCCAGATTCAGCAGTGCTGTGACCTCTCACATAACACACTTCCCTAAATCTTGAAGAGGTTATTCTTGATTGTTGCAGCCTGTGCCACTCATGAATATAGCTCTGGTCTCGTGTTGATGTCTCAGTCCTGTGAGCCATATCAAAGGATAATTGCAAACTCTGCAAATGAAACTGTTCCTCTTCAGTGCAAACCCAGACACACCCTGTTAGTGACAGATGATGAGAACAAAGTGGAAGAGAAGGAGAAGGTGATGCAACTCTATACATCGGGTTACTAGTTTGGGTTCCTGATAGGACAGTACACTTCCTTTTCGCACAAGTCCAAATTCAGAATCCACAATTAACTTTTAATTTTACTCACATTTGTTGACTATGAGTATACATGGGTGAGGAACTCTGATCTTTTAGAAATGTTTCCCATCAGAAGTCGTTTACTAAGTGAAACTTTAAAGAGCAGCTTCTGAAGATATAAAATTACAAACAGATTCGCAATCAACATTAAAACAAGACATGTGGAACTGGTCTTGTTTTAATGTTATGATGAAAAAAGATGATTAAAAATGGGAGGGCGCTGTAAACACAATCCCATTTGAGCTCTTCACAAGAAGCATGCAAACGTAGTGAGACGAAATAACATGGAGGCCTGAAGGAAAACGGCCACGTGTTTCTAAAAACAACAACTTTGAACCTGAACTCAGCTGAACTTGAACGTCTTCAGCATCTTTAACGGGTCAGGGTGCACTTACTTCAGTGTTTCTCAACCCTGGTCCTCAGGCCCCCCGGATGTGCCTCTGTTCCAGAACAGCTGATTCAAATGACTGCATGACCATCAAGTGCTGCAGAAGCCTGTTAATCACCCAGAGGTACAATTCAGGTGTGGCAGAAGGGAAACACCTAAAACATGCAGGGCAGGGGGGACTGAGGACCGACGGTGAGAAACACTGACTTACTTTCAAAAAGGAACCTCTGAGCCTCAGTTCTCATCTGCAGTAAAAGTTGATTCATGTTGAGACGAAATGATGGCTGCAAACATTGATGGACACATCGAGGAGAGCGCCACGCATCAGCCACTGTTACCAGACACGGCAGTGATGATGTTACAGCGAAGGCAGGTGAACAACCTGCTCACCATATTTCATAATGCTGCTTCTAATGTAACATATTCAACAACTGTAGAAACTGCATATAAAACCCCAGTTAGATAAGCTGAGACTGGCACAATGTTTATATGTGCCTTTTATTTGCACATATAAACATTGCTGTTTATATGTGCAAATAAACAGCAATGTATGTGGGAAGCTGCCACTGCAGCCCAGTTTTGCAATGTAGAAACATTCAAAACACAGGATGTAAACTAAGATGTTGACATCCTGTGTCTTACCACTCAGGCTGTGAGATACACTCCCTTAATTTATTAATAACATAAAACCACAGTAGAGATGTTTACCCTCTGATGCATACGTGGGTCTTTTTTGACACGGTGAGGTAATTTCTTTGCATTATCTTTGCACAGCAAAGTTTTCATCACTTCATTCCAGGTGTTCCTCAAAAACACATTACTGATATCACAATTAAAATTTTTAATTTACCTTTTATACATTTACATAGGGTAGTAATTATCTTCAATTACTACCCCATTGATCCGTAAGTGGGTCAATAATGACCCGCATTCATTTCTTATGAATAAAATTCTTTTCTGAACCAAACACACTGAGTCCTTAGTGTCACCTCCGAGTAATAATATTTTACACAGCAAGAACTCTTACATACAAGTATTATCTTTATTTTTATCTCACAAATGTGTGTGTGTGAGTGTCAATCATGAGTATTGTGACAGCGTTATTGTCACAAATCAACATATTACCCTTCTTCAAAGTTAGCCAACACTAGTTATCTAACCAACTGGCTAACATTACCACCTATACTTTATTGTACATGTGTATTATTTGTGTGTGTGTCTCTGTGTGTGTCTGACATACTGGATGAGAAAACCAAAAGAGAAAATGTGTTGAATGACATACAAAACCTGTTGAGTTCTAGGTTTTGTTCTTTTATCATCTCAATAAATAAAATAAAGAATCATAGCTATATAAGTAAATGCATAAATAAATGAGCTGGAAAAGTATAGCGTGCCTTCTCTGGGTCGGGGAGGATGTCCTGTCCCAAGTGGAGGAGTTTAAGTATCTGGGGATCTTGTTCACCACTGTGGGAAAAATGGAGCAGGAGATCAACAGGCGGATTGATGCAGCGTCTGCAGTGAAGCGGTGCTGCACCGGTCTGCCCTGGAATAAAACGTAGTAGAAAGTATTAAATAAAATATTAATTTGAACTAAAATGACAAAAGTAGCTTTAAAAACACATTGATTCTAATACGGGTCAAAAAAGACCCACTTACAGAAGTGGCAGACATGCATCAGAGCGTTGGAGCTCAGACCACTTCGAGCTTCCTTTTTCCGCTGTACTTGTGAAGTCAGAACCACACGTATTCTTCCGCGGTGCAGTCTGTGGTCCATCCGCTTAGTCAGAATTAACAGAAGAACCTTGATCCAACGTCATCTTCTAAAAAGGTAAACATTTTTCATCTTTATTTAGTTTTAGCATCAAGAAAAAAATAAATATTACTGAAACAGAAGAAATAATTGCATAAATAAATCCATCATGATGAGAAAATGAATCTTTAATACTTTTAAGTGTGCTATGAGGAGGGCAGTAATGGTTCGTGGCATCAAATTTGCTTTTAGTGCCTGCAATAAAACTTTTTTTTTTTTTTACCTGAATTGACACGTAGTAATTTCTGTAGCTTCAGTTTCTCTGTGTTAATGGAGGACTGAACCTTTCTGTGCTTTGGCAAAGTTTTGATAATCCAACCCACATAGTTAATCGTGTTGCTCCACTCAAACTACAATATGTTCACATGCGACTTGTTCATCAGATTAAAAGTACCCTTACAAAATAACAACCTTTAAGCAGGAGTTACTTTTTTATTAAACCTTCTATTTTTAACAATATTTTTTGTTGTTTGGATTTGATCAATGTTTCTCAGTTATTTTGCCCCCATCGGGACCATAATTATTTTTCACGACTCCCATGTGCCGTTCCCTTCTCAGAATTGAAATACTATTGCAAATCTGGTAATAGAATAAATTATCTGTACAAACCACTGGCTCCAGCATTGTATGACCTTGTTATCAAAACAACTGTTTTATTGTTATAAGTCTCAAAATAATTTCCAAGTCCAGTTTATTAAGTCAGTCAGTAACATTTAATCAAGACTCATTGTGACTGAGAAAAAGAGCAAATGATTCACCAGGATGTGCATTTTTAGACTTAATACAGTAATTTTTCACAGTAAGCACTGGTTATATGTCAGCTTCTTCAGTTGCAGCAATATTGTTTATATTTTCACGTTGTCAGATGAGGAGATTAATCCATAACTCATTCATCCTCAGCTCCGTTTACAACAGAGCTGTGCAGCTGCTTCTACTGGCTTCAACAGGCAGCATGTTGATTAGTTTGAACGCTGCTTTACTCACTGCATGAAAAACAAACACGTTTTAACCAAAAGTTCATCAGGTACAGACACACACCTGCAGTTTTTGTCCAAGTTTCATAAGTTTTTTTATTTAAACAAACTGATTTGGAAAAAAGATTTTGCCTGATTTTGTTATTTTTATCTTTTTCTTATTTTAAGAATTGACCTTTTTTGTGTCTGGAATAAAATATGATTTGTTATTTTTTGTTGCTTGTATGAATTATTGTCGTTTTGGGCCTTTAAGTACCAAAATTTCCACTTAACTTTATATTTTAGTTTGTCTGATGATGTAATTTCATGACTGTTACCAAAGCGAAGAACAGAATGAATTGCAGCGTCTAATTTGCCTCCTGTTTGTGTCTTTTGCAGAATGAGACCATCAGCAGTTCAGATGGTTTGTTTGGCCTTTGGGGCCGTCGGGTTAATTGGGGCCATCAGGTGTTGCACCCTCCCTCAGTGGGTGGTTTGGGTCTACAGGAGTGAAAACAGGACTTCAAAGGTATTGTTTTAATTTCAGAACATCTAAAGACATTTTTTGGCTCACATTGTCAATTACAGTTGTGTTAGTTGGCTTTTATTTTTTATTAATCAGTCTTTACTGTATACACACGGTTAATGTCTGGTTTAAATGGGTGCTGTTAGCTGGTTGCTAATTCCTGACGTCAATATTCACCAATGAATGAAGCACTTTGGAGACCTCTGGACTAGTCAAAGCGCTCTGCACAGGTTATTTACCATTTATGAAAAGTTATTTGAAACCGAGTTAAAAATATTCTTAAACAAAACTGACAATATTATGGCAATCAGTAAATAAGATAAATTATTTTTTTTCATCTGGGAGGGACTCAGAGCTGCTGCTCCTTCACATCGAGAGGAGCCAGTGGCTCGGGCATCTGATTAGGATGGTCGCCTCCCTGTTGAGGTGTTCCAGGCACGTCCCACCAGGAGGAAGAGCCTGGGGAAGAGCCAGGACACACAGGAGGGACGATGTCTCTCAGCTGGCTTGATGATTCCCCAAATGTTCCCCTGGAATAAGTGGCTGGGGAGAGGAAAGTGTCCTTACTTAGGCTGCTACCCCCACGACATGACCCTGGATGAGCGGAAGAAGATGGACGGATGTTTTTTTCAGTCTGATATTAAAAAGAAAGTCATCCATACGGTGTATGTAAATATCTGCTCCTGTGTCTTTGGGTGGGTAGGAACATCAAAGGGGTCTGTGGATGGACTGTGAGAAGCAGAGCACCAGACGGCTGGAGTGCAAACTGCATGACTCCATGGTGGCGCCACCCCCTCTACTTCAGGCCTTCAGGGCCATGACCGTCATCAGCTGCATCCTCTGTGGGCTCAGCCTCCTCATCCTGTTCTTTGGTGCCGACTTCACCACATGTGTTCAGAACCAAGACACCAAGCACAGAACCATCCTGGTGGCCAAGGTGGGCCTGCTGCTGGCCGGCCTGCTGGTGATCATCCCTGTCAGCTGGGTGGCGCATACGCCATACGCCTTGATGGTGAGAGACACGCCAGTGAGGTTCATGAAAGGAGCTAGCATTTCTGTTGGCTGGGCAGCTGGTGTGCTGATGATCCTGGCTGGAGTTCTGCTCTACTGCTTCAGCAGACCCAGATCCAGCAGCTCTGGAGGAACCGCCAAGTTCTACAGCAACAAAGCTTTGTGAGTCGTTTCTTTTTGCTATTTTGGCAAACTGTTGAATTCTCATGATTTTTTGTGTTTTTTATTGTACTTACACCGTGTTCCAAATTATTATGCAAACTGGATTTAAGTGTCTTAAAGATAATTTTTTTGTTGTGCCATTAAACTCAGAGATGGTTCTGGGTCTCAAGGCTCAAGACCAGATTGTGGTCTTGAGCCACGTTCCCATCCTTGGCTGCTACCCGACTTCACCCACTAGGCTAACAAGTAGGAACTCCATCATCGTGGCTAGTTAAGCATCTGATCAGGAAACTTCTTGGCCTACGTTAGTGTTGCCTTTTACCTCAGCAAACCAATCTTGGATAAGAGGAAGACAATGGATTCATTGCTGCCAAAGCCAGAAGACAACCAGGAATATATTGCAGCTACATTAATTATTTGGCTTCTGGTTTTGTTTTTTGTAGGACGGTTCAGACGGTATGTGGTGCTGTCGGGGTCACCGGACTACTTGGGGTCATCGCTTGTTGCGTCCTCCCTCGCTGGAGAGTGTCAGCCTACACAGGATCGACCAACGTGACCGCACCGGTAACCATGTGTTATGTGGAAGAGGGCATCAAAAGCTCCCATTCCTGTATAAGATGGATCTGATAATGCCAGCAAGTGGAATGTACCCTTGGCTCAAGGAGCTGTTAATTATTGACAAACTTGTTGGACCAATGGAAGTTCCAGCCTGGACAAGCAGAGAGGGGGGTAATATTTCCAATGAACAAGCAGAAAGTTTCATTTTATCAATTAGTGATAAACGAGTCCTTTACCAGGCTATGCTGGTAAAGGACTCGTTTCATTCTCAAAACAAAAGTTTTCTCAAAGGCCTGGAAAATAGAAATTATTTTTGTTATTCTATCTGATTTAATGTTAGGCTATGAAAAAAATGTTTTATACAGTGCAAATGTCTTTTTCTGTGTCTTTGAAGGAGTTGGTGATTTTTGACGGTCTGTGGATGAGCTGTGTGAAGCAGGACACTAAGCAGCATTGTAAAGTGCATAACTCCACCCTGGATTTACCCTTTGACCTTCAGGCTGCCGGCCCCTTGACCATCATTAGCTGTGTCCTCAGTGTGATCAGTCTCTTCATCCTGTTCTTTGATGCCAACTTCATCACATGTGAGCAGAACAAAGATGCCAGGCCCAAAATCACCCTGGCTGCAGTGGGGCTGCAGATGGCCGGCCTGCTGGTGATCATCCCGGTCAGCTGGGTGGCGCATACTACTGTTAGAGACTCCTACAACCCTAAGTTACTGAATGTCCTGAAGAGAGAGCTGGGAGTGTGCATCTATATCGGCTGGGCAGCTGGTGTGCTGATGATCCTGACTGGAGTTCTGCTGTGCTGCCTCAGCAGACCCAGGTCCAGCTGTTCAGGAGGAACCACCAGCTACTACAGCAACAGAGCTTCAGCTGCAAACAATGACGTCATTTAGAGGCTTTATGGAAAGGACTGGTGTCCAACAGACGGGGAGACGGGGGAGCTGAGTTGGTAAAAACTGAGAAGACGACACTAGTGACTATGGCATAAATACTTTATGCCAAGCATAAGTAGATCTGATTATCAGTGCCATCATTTTAAGTGTGTGTGCTTTAAAGCATGTACTCTCTATATGTTAATTCAGGGCTTAAAGTGAAAAAAATCCTGAGCCTGAACTTATAGTGGTGATAGGAATGAACTATACCGTTGCTATTGCCACAGTTTAATGAAAAGTGTCTTTGAATAGAGCAAACAATTGCTTCTAACAATACAATTAACAAGCTAAACACTCAAATTTAAATAAGACTTCAGTACATTTCAACTCAAAGCAAAATATAAAATGTCTGTCCCCTAGAGGTTCGCCTTACGGGCAAAAATCCCTCAACATTGAATAAGAGTCCTTTCAGTCAATGTTTTTGCAAGTAATTTAGAATATGCAACATTACAAACGAAATCAGTGTTTCTCAGCCTTTTTCAGCCCAGCACCCCCAGCCTTTATCCAGGTCCCTCACTGCCCCCCACCAAAGAATTTGCAGGCTACTTTGCACTGACCATTGTTTTATTATTAATATTACTGTCACTATTGTTGATGTTTAGACTTTTATGCTTGTTTCTGTATTTATCATCGAAATAATTTCCCAGAGAACAAAAAAGCCATGGGAATAGAAATT